TATATATATATATAACTCATTGCTAAGATTATCATATTATTTGAAATAAAATTACAAAACCCCAAACCAAAAAACAAAACGAGGAAGAAACATACAGACAACCTTGATTATTGCTACGTACGTATTTACATACTAACCTATGGAAAAACATTTCTCTTATTTTGAGACCACCTTACCATTATAACTCGAAACACTTGAAAATCAGACAACCCATAGAATCTCTCAGGCGCTATAGCCTACGATCGACAAGTGCGGCGTAAAACCACCACACACCGCATCAGAAACTTCCTCCATCAGTTCCTTCGAGACACCGTTGTTACAAACGTTTGCAAACGCGCGCATATGTTTCATCCCATATTGGGTTAGTGATCCACAATGCATTTCAAATATGCGTACCTAAGAAGTTTCAAGTACATTTTATAGCCAAGCTTTTAACATTAATGTGTTAAATAAACCTGGATCTGGATAGGAATATGTACGAGAGATGAGATTTAAGGCTTGCGAAACATTTACCATTGATTTAAGACATTCCCAATCGTCAACCAAAGGCAAACCAGGTTCTCTAATCGAGTTGAGAACATTCTTCGTGGGACCAAACAAAACCGTGCCTATCAATTCGACACTTGTGTCTAAATGCTTCCTATGCCATGTTGTCTCAGTTAATTCCTTCAATATCTCATCTTTCTTCCTTGACCCATCTTCTGCTGACCGGTACTGTAAAATCAAAGCCAATATGTTTTAAGTAAAACCAAATCAATGCAGTTGGTTAGATGGCCGAATATCATTACTTGATACGTAAAACAGAATAGTCCAATACCATGTGCCAAAGAAAGAGAAGGTCAGCATCTCGTTGGTTAACAACTCCAACTTGCGACTTGACCGGTAATTTGTTAGGAGGGAGATTAACAGTGGCTGGATCGAATCCTTGGTATAGATAAAGCTTCTCTGACTTAATACTCGTGTTACCGTATTCCATCACATGGGAGCCACCTGAATAAGTGTTATAATTTGATGTCCGCATCTTCACCTACACACAGGGAAACATGATCCATTTTATATTCACATTTTTCTAACCAACCATCAAATAAACGGGTAAAACAAAAATTTCCATGTACCGTTTGGTATTGTTGCTTAATAGACTCTTTCTTTAAATTGTGGGTCTCACTGCAAGCGGATCACAAATAAAATTGATCGATACACACATAAAAGAACTTAATAATACGATAAAATATATACGTACCTGTCTTCCATCCAAGCAACACTATATAAATCTCCTAAGCAAGTGATGTATTCGGATGGGGGAGCCGGATTCATGCCAGGACAATACGTTCCGTAACTACTCTCTTGCCCATTTGAAGCTGTTGTTACATAAATCTTCAAGTCCTTTGGCATTATCCCCTCGAATACACTCCCGCTTTCACATGCTTCTACGTATATAACCTACATAACATTATCACAATTTATACAAGTGCAATAATAATACCATTAATTTTAAGAAACCTATATATTTAAACCACTCAAGAAATTAAATTGTTATACTAAATTTTACCATCTCTTTGTATGTTCCGGCAGCATGCTTCTTCTTAAGCGTTTCAATAAAATCAGCTGCATATATGTGAGGCTTGTTTGGCATCCCTGATAGATGAAAGGTTAAACGAAGAAATAACATGTTATAGCAATACATTACAATTTATTACCACTAGAAGTTATCTTCTCAGGAAACACAAATTAAGGGTTGATGAAATTACCAAGAACTCCGGGACCACCATGATCAGAATAATATACGAAAATGTGATCGTTGGCTTTGCTAGCGATGACCTTACCGCTTCCACCTTTAACGGCCTTCCGATCTCCTAGAAGTACCGCGTAGAAGTTCGCGGCTGTAACGTTATTACCGGTATAGTCCTGAAAAAGATATTTTAAAAAGTATAACAGAAGAACTATTGAAACAACGAATATTAGTTGTTACAATGAATCTTGTAGAGATGCCAATCAAAGGTCCACACATAAGGTTTGGTTTACCACACCAAATGTCTCTAGAGTCACTATCACTATAATTGTTGGGTACTGCCTAAGTCACCATCTCTTACACGATAGATTTTTTATTTGCTAAAAATCTCATAGATCCAAAAATATATTTAAAACAATATTAACAACCTAAGTAAATTTGAGTTCTAAGGATATAATTCTCTATACAAAATAATAATATTGAAACAAAGCTCTAAATTCCTCGTTAGACCCTAATTGGAACAAAGCATATTAGACTAGTATAACAACTAGACCATCAAGTTTAGC